TGCTGCAGTTACCCGGTGCAGCAGGTGCAGGTGCAGCAGGGGGTGCTGGTTTGCTCAGGATCTCCACCTTGGCCTTCGGAGGATGAGGGACCTCTTCATCTGAGGGGGGGGGGGGGAAATACTATCAAACGAAGGTTCATCTAGAGTCCCAGGCCACCCCAGTTCAGAACCAGCAACTGATGAGTGCCGGTCCAAGGCAAACAGCTCATCTTAGAGGCAGGTTCTGCTCCTCTCATCATAAAATGGGGGAAAGAAACCCCCCCCAGGGGCCCATTAGTCATGCCTCAGACAAGATGGAAAACATTTTTGCAAGAACGTTAAACAAAGAAGCTGATGGATGCGTTAAAAACATTAGACTGAATTAAAGATATTCAAAATGCTTATTCACCAAAATCTCTGAATCGCAATGAGACACTTTGCTGGCTTGTCTGTGGATTTTTTGTTATGCGACAAACCATTTAGATTTATTGTCACCAAATCAAGGATTCCATGAAATCTTTATAAAGACTGATTGCTTGAGCCATAAATGAACAGTATTTCATAAAACAGAGATGGGCTTAGATCTGGGGAAGAACGATTCGTCTTCCTGCCTTCATACTATATTAAGAGACGTCAACGTGAATTTCTACACTGGACTGAAATTTTCCATAATTCTAAATGTACTATGACTGGCGTAGGGCTGCCATTGACAGGCATAAAGTAAAACAAAGTAAAAAATATGAAAGACAAAATAATTCAGATCCCAGTTTCACAGCCTTGACACTAGGATGGTTTTCTTAAAAAGTAAGGGGTTTTTTTGGGTCAAAATCATTCTAATCAATCTGTACAGCAAATCCACCATGTTGAAATATTGGAAGAGAAAAACAGAAGAATAGAAAATATGAACAAGTTTAATACGGACAAAAAAGTGTAGGAAGTAAGAGGAGGGCAAACTTGAAAGTAACGAAAAAACGATACTGTTACACACCAGCTAATCTCATGCACAAGGAAAACAGCTTTGGTCCATTCTGATGTCCCCAGTTTAAAATAACAGCCTGCGATCTCTCGCAGCGGATGACCACAAACTAGACGTACGTCAAGACCGGCTCAAGAAAACAGGAAGTCACAAGCTGTATTTGGCTCTCTGGGTCAAAGGACCTCGCAATGCTGCAGACGGTGAATGTGGTCCTGGGGGCTCAGGCTTTGTAAATGTCTAGCATCCTATGATATTCCTAAACTTGCAGAAAGTCACAACATTATTTCTCTATAAAAATGAATACATCAGTATAAGCACTACAGAGAAGGCCAACTCTCTATTCCTGTACCCAAACCATAGCCACTATGATGAAAGGAGCCACAACAAATCATGGTTTTAGGCAAGATGTTTAAAACCCAGGGCTGCAACTTATTATTGCATCACACCCACTGAACGGGAGAGGGATTGAGATTGATGTAAAAATTCTGGGCCTGTGCTTCACCACCCCCACCCCAAATTAGGGGTCTGTTCATCTCTCATGAAAACAGGAAGTGGTCACAATTGTTGACTAACTTCTAGAAGCAGGCATGAGCTAAGCAAGGTGATCTGCAGAGACCCAACAGCTACAATTACAGCTAATGGTCCCCAACAACAGGCACCTACTCAGGGAGTGACGGCCTTCCAGAAGGTTCATGGAAACCGTAAACTGCTGAATGCTCGGATTCTTTGGCAGGGTTAGGCTTAGGGAGCTTGGCATCGTTTTTAATTAAGATGCAATCAGCAGGGAGACATAAAGTACATTCCCCGCGGCCCTTTCAAGGCTTGGCATCGAGGGCCAAGGGGCCGAGGCACAGGAAACGGCCTCGGTCGAGGCAGCGAGGCCCGAGCGGGAAATGCTGAGCTCCCCGCATTCCGGCGGCCCACCAGGCAGCAAGAAAGAGACACGAAAGCACTGAAATCACCCCGCTAACCTCAGCTGGCAGGCGGGAGCAACTCGGGACGCTGCCAAACGTCACAGGCAGGGGGGGGGGGGGGACCTGCGCCATCAGGACTTAATGAAACATCTTTCAACTGAGGGAAATAAATTAGCCAGCGGACTGTATGTAGGCTGAGGCATAAACGAAGATAAAGGCTGCCCAGTGCTTATTCACGAATACGCTAATGACTTTAAAAGTTGTGTAGCCTGGCAGGGATGCATTAGTCACACAATTTCCCGTCAAAATAAAATACGGTTTAAAAAACAGGGTTCTGGGTAAAGTATTTTATAAACTATAGACTATTATGGCGGGTCATGTTAAGATAGTACCCTGTGAAAGCAAGCATCATCGTTCATGAGTAACACCCACATCCTGCAGGAGTAATCCAGTGGCGTACTATGGCCGCTCAACCAGTCTTTATGTGGCTGGGGAAAAGCTTTTCCCAGTGCTCCCAGTCCATGGCTGCTAACACAGCGCCTCAACTTGGCCTGCCTTGACATGACTGCCCTACGCTGGAGTCTCAAAGGGGAACGAGCCAGTGTGTTTGCAGATGCTGCACTGGTGCCGTAAGCGAGAGGAACCCCGTCGTCATGGCGTCCTGTTCCCATCCCCCGACTGCTGCCAATGATCACTGGGTCAGTGCTGCACTCGCGTTAATAGCAGCGGCCTCTTGGACATTAACGGAAGGCCCTCTGTCGCTCAGGAGACCAACTGTACCGACCAACAGGATCCAGGCTTGTACAGGGCAGGTGGGCAGAGGGTGACAGTCAGCATCCATCCATGACACACGTCTCCATGGAAACCCAGCACCAGGCCCATCGTCTTACCGGGGAGCTCCTCGTAGATGTCCTCGTCAATCGGCTCAGACGCAGCGGGGGCAGTGTTTGCGACGTCGTCGTACGTCTGCTGCTCCTCGTCATCCTCTGGGATGATCCCCGATTCAATATCTTTTCATAAAAGAACAGGCATAAACACCCGCACACTTAGTGAGCTGAAACACACAACACTAATAAAAAAAGGACCGGCTGGTCTCCTCACCCCTCAGCACGAACTGGATCTGCTCGACCCATTCTTCCGCGTCCTTCTGGGTCGCGGCGCAGAACTGCAGAGGAGCGACGTCAACGTCAACTTTCCACATGCGCCTGAGGCGCCTTCCAACTACACCTTTAACTGCGAAGTGCGTTCGACGCAGCCGGGACCAACCTGGTAGACGCGCCTGTCGGGGGCGGAGATCTGGAAGCAGCAGTCCTTCTTGGCGTCCTTCCGTAGCGCCTTGTTTATCTTCACGGCGTAGCCATCGATGCAGAACTCACCCTTCTGCTGCTTATCTGCACAGGTGAGGCAGACAGGCAACATTTCCTAGAGGCTGCACTCATGAGTATTGAGAGCGTGTGTGGACTAGTTAAGGTGAGATTGTCTATTTGCCGAAGGCGAAGGAGGGGGGGAGAGACGAACCGCCAGGGGGGTGACAGAGTGCTGACACATGTTCTGGTGTCATAAATACGGAGAGAAAAAATTTGTTCTCCATTCAAGTTCTGTGGTTTTTGGCATGGCTCTCATGCCAAATAATATCATGACATACTTGTGCCAGTTTTGCATTTTGGATCCTGTTATAAAGGTGAGCCAATACATTATGGAAGCTCCTTTTGCAATATCATGCAAATTATGCACCCCGGCGCCAGCGATCGCTTGCTGCACCGGCTGCGTAGAGAAGTTCATATGATCTTCAGCAGCTGGCTGTAGGCGTACTGTTCAGGGATGAGGAATGAGGAGGAATTCTCCCCAGGGGGAAGCGAAATAAGGCAGCAGTAAAAATGCAAAAAAGCAAAGAGCTGGCTTCATGGACCCCATCGCCTTAGGAGAGGGAATCAGAAAAAAAGAAAAAAGAAAAAACAGCAGCCTCAGCAATACATTTCTCTCCAGGAAAAGCCAGATGCACATTTTAAGTGCAGCTTCTCTCAGAAATTAAATGACAATATAAAAAGAAAATATATAAATATATAAAAAATCCTGACAGCAGATGTCCCCATGGAACGTCTCCTTCCGTGCCCCCCACCGCACACACACGCACACGCACACACACGCGCACACACACACACACACACACCTACCTTTGTCACTCCCATAGTAGTAGAACGTGCGGTAACTAAGGGCACACCATCTCTTCTGCCACTCCGTGCCAAAGAAGCTGTGATCTGTAAGACAATGACATCACTTCAGAGGTCCAATCAAGGGCAGTGCCGCCGGAACGCCTGTCGCCTGCCTGCGGATCGGCCAGCTGGCCTGACCGCATCCCATAAGGCCAAGTGACCCACCTTTCCTACGCTTCTCCAGGTATCCCGCCTTGAAGACGGACGGAAGGTCCTGGGCGGCGACCGGAGGGGACTGCTGAGCACCTGGGAGGACCAGTCAGCAGCCAATCAGAGATAGAGAAACGGGGCACATCGGAAACTCCACCTATCCAAGCATCCATACAAATTCTGATAAAACAGGACATGATTTTGGTTGGTCGATGAAGTTCTTTATCAAACAAAACAGCATCCAGCAGTACACGGAGGCAACTGTATTTCATTACTTGTGCAATGACAAAAAAAATCAAATCTAATGTAATCAACGAAACAGGTAATGTGAAGGACACCAACCATTAGTGGAATTCTCAAATGATTCACTAAAATCACACACACAACCACATGTACATATATGAAACTACCAAGGCAACTATCTGCATTACAACTTCAGTCTGGAAGAATAACAGTCATTTTCTCATGCTCCTCGAATGACCCTGGTTCACGCCCATAACCAAATCCTCATTTACACGTTCACTGACACGTTAGACACACATATCCATAAACCAGGGTTTGTGTAGCACAAGATTCCGGCCTTTAGCATTATTAGTGGGAACTGATACTGCAACTGTGCATCTTCATTAGGGTTAAGTGTCGGGAACAATTCAATGATGCGAGGGAGCTGCGAGGGAGCTGCGAGGGAGAAACTGAAAGTGACAGGAATCAGTCAAAGTCCCGTCAGAGACAGGGGGGTCCCGTCAGATCTGGGCCCCCTGCGGCACGGCGCCCACATCCAGAGCTCGTGAGGTGCTCCCTTAACTGCAGCATCAAATATACACCCATTACAGGTAAAGCTGGGCAATTAAGACGATAATTATCGTGATATAATTTTTCTCCTTTGCAATATGACAAGTGCTTGATAAACGTTTGATATAATTTAAGATTCGGCGTGTTGACAACACGTTTGGCGTCACCATGGAATGATGTCACTTCCTCTGTGACTGCCTGTCAGAACTGGCAATGGGGCAACGGCACAGACACAGCCCCGAAAACACAAATGGGGGGTTTACTGAACAAATAAGAGAATGCAATAGGACAGGCAGGCAGAACAACGGGGCAACTCACCATCAGAGCGAGCAAGTCCAAAGCAGCCCGTCCAATAAGGGCAAGTCAGTGAAACCCAAGTCCACAGTAAAATTCAGTCCATGAGAAATCCACCCAGTAATAATCCACAGAGAATTCAGAAACCCTAGGAAGAATGCGAGTGGTGGCGTGTTGTTGCCACTGACTAAAATAACCTGTTCAACTTCTACCTCAGATTTGTGAAATGCTGTTTGGCAAATTTGTCAAGAATCAAACCACAAGTAACCATCTGCTTTCTTCAACTTTCACTGGGGAACAAAAATCAGCCATTAACCCTGAAAGAAATAATGATTAATTATCGATATCAACTGATATGAACATTTTTATTGTGAAAACATTTTTGAAAACATTTTTGGCCGTATAACCCAGCCCTAGTTATATGATCCTCTTTATGCTGTTGGGCCACATTAAACGTGCATTAAAGTGCAAGACTGCTAGAAGAAGGGTGCAGGGTCCATTATGGAAAGACAGGACGGCAGATGAACTCCAGATTTCAGTCAGTATCTATACTGATGCTCTGATGTTACTGGAACATTCTTCAGGGACCCGATCCTGCTGTGCACAGCCGTGCTGAAGACTTCCTGCCAAAACTGGGCTCAGACGGAACACGGCTGCGACTTTACAAAGAATCACAGATCTCAGAACATGCCGCTACTTCAACAGTGAACAGCAGTCCTCAAACTGCATCCTGGGGAGGGGGGGTTACTGTATGTCCTCAAACTGCATCCTGGGGAGGGGGGGTTACTGTATGTCCTCAAACTGCATCCTGGGGAGGGGGGGTTACTGTATGTCCTCAAACTGAGCTCTTAATTAGGACAGAATACAGAACACCCTTTTCAGAGTCTAATTTATGTCTATTTTTTTTAGGTGTCTATTTATAATAAAACATTAAAAATGCCCTTCTCGTCTCTTAAGTTAATTATATGGAACAAATCATGACTAATATTTTAAAGTGGACCACTAGTTTCATGCCCTGGGATAATTAAGTAATTGAAAATCTGATTGCTGTAATTAAACTAAAATAGTATAAATGCACACACACATTTTTTAAACCATTGTTTGTGCTCTATAACTGAACAAAGGCAAAGTAAGACATTTGACTTATTTGCACAATCATAATGCAAATTTGAGTGACCTCTAGCTTGTAGCAATTTGCATTATCTGTATTATACTTAATTATACACATATATACATAATTAAGAGGTCAGCAGTAACAAATGTCACCATGCCGTCACACTGCGGTCCCCCAGGTTTAGAGTCACTGACCTACGATATATAAATTACAATTACCGAAAAAAATGACGTTAAATTTTATTAGGAAATTAAATTTTTATTAGGAAATCAAAGGTATGAAGTAGCCCTTGCTGTGCAATAAATATAAAACAATACTACAGTGATATATATACACGTTAATAATAAGATGTGTGCTGAGCAGTAACCCATCCATCTAGGTGCGTATCCTGGACAGGGACCTGGAGCCAGTCCCAGTCAGTACCTAGCAGGGGAACACCCTGGATGGGATGGCAGTCAATGTCAGGGCACGCACAGACACACACACACACACGCACACGCATGCAAGCACGCGGAAACTCAAATACCCGGAGACTCCACCCACAAGGGGGGGGGGGGAGAATCATGATTTGCAACTCAGGAGGTGTGAGATAACAGTGTGACAGTGCTGCCAACTGAACCACCAACCACAATTAGAAATTCAGCAACTACACAAACAAATCTTCACAGAAACTTCATCTTATGTTGCCATTTACATTCTTCAGATTTCCGCGATTTGTCAAACTACCCATCAGTCAAACTAACAACTGCAGACTACGGCTTACTTTGCACAAGCTATAAATTAGATAGAAACAGGTCAGTCTTGACAGCAAACCCATTACTCCCATTTCCCTCAACAAACACCTCTAGCGGGATGTGTCCGGCCCACTTCACTAACTGCAGTTTAACCAAAACCAAACAAAACAATGAGACTTCAGTCAAACTTCTAGTGGATGAAAAAACACTGAGGAAGCTTCATTTTTCCCATGACTGCATGCTGGTTGAATGTCTCATAGCACAATATGAATCAGAGGTGCTCAGTCTACTTGGACTGGTTGGGGATCATTATGGGCAGCAATCCGCATAATGCATTGGTCTCAGGTTCTAGCCTAAGATAAGAGGCATGTGTTGTGTCATCCGAGTAAAGTCAGGGTTCCACTTCCACCAAGAATCAAGCCATTCCACAAACTGTGCCTGACCAACACCCTTGTCGTCTACTGCTGGGGCCAAAAGTGTGACAATACCAAGCTGGTTGCATCACCACCATCTGATGCATTATTAGTGGGAACTGATACTGCAACTGTGCATCTTCACCTCCAAATGCATGGAGATACTGATGACTGTGTTGATATGCATGAACCATCTGACGGAAAAAGGGCATATTGTATACATTACTCCTTATTAGTAGTGTTGCTCATCGTGATGTACTGATGCATTCCCTACTTAAAAAAGTATTATAGAATAGCCGAATGGAATTGATTCATAATCCAATTTTATGCAAGTAAATGCTAATTCCACTAGCATTTGGTGCTAACATAACCTGGCAATTCTCACACACGTGCCAGTGAAAATCAGCACAGAGTAAATCATGATGTACACTAATGTACTCCGTGTGAGCAGTAAATAAGCGTCTCTCTGGTTTTATGTCACTGTCACTCTCCAAACCTGGTAAGGCCTTTAACGAGCAGACCCTTCCGCAGTGGACAACTGAAGTAAATAGTCTCTCTTCGTGGTACAAGTTGGGTACGGCTTGATTCCTGAATGCCAGCGCAGAAATGCCATTAGTTGCATCTATCTACAAGGTTTGGGATGCCAGTCTCACTGTTCATTGTGGTGTGTGAGGATTTTTCCCAAGGGTATAGATTTGGGTATGGACAATAGGGTGATTTGGTCCCCACCAATATTAAAACCAAACCTACACCCTTGATCTCATGTCCAGAAGGTCATGGCTTGGAATCTCATCGCCAGGAAATGAATTCTATCACCTTTAGCCCTTAATGCTAACACTGGCTGACCGTGCTCTCTGATCCTCACCTGTATATCACATTGAGTGAAAATATCTACTAAATAAATAAAAATTCCGTGCTCTTTGTAGCTGAACTTGCTTTCCCTCCAATCAACCAGTCTCTGTACCAGTTTGTGTGTTTGGAAGATGTCTGCAGAGTTAACCAGCCCCAGACTAAGAGGATGATATCACAGCCACTACTGATCTTGCTGAAAATGAGTCTGGCATCAACATGTGGATAAAATCATCCCCATTTCCACACAGCTGGGAAGATGGGGCAGATTCCTCCGACATGTCACCAGCACAGGCGGAGGTCCTGACGCACGTCGGCTCGCCCAGCCGGCCCATGGGGTCAGAAGACAGCCTACCGAAGCTGCGGCTGACGTGCAGCACAGACGCACAGCTCCCGTCCTTGCTCAATGCCAGAGTTCTCAGCTGTCGGCTCTGGTGGGGCCCAGGAGCCCTTATTGGGCCATTTGAGCTCATATGGCTCCATAAACGGTAAAGACGGGCCAGCGCGGCCTCTCCTTCCAAGCTAAACAAGCGGGAAACTCAAATGGAAAGAGCATTAGCAAGACAGAGCTGGGCCGGAGCACGGCCAGGGCTGTGGAGACGAGGCTTTACGGCAAGAATCGCTCCCTGCAGGTGGCTGTTTGTGAGGGTGGGTGTGCCAGTAACATCCCACGAGGAACGCAGGAGATACGGGGGCTGCAGTCACTTAAACAAAAAGCAGACCCATGGCAAGCTCTCGACCGCCACTCCTGCGCTGGATGGGACCCCCCAGGAGGACTGATAACTGCAGACCGACACAGTTTCTAGCTCATAAATACTTACGCACTGCTATCTACACCCGCCAACGTTCCGCACACACGTGGTGTTCCAGCAACCAGGAATAGCACATGGACTCCATACCCAAATATCCCGGGAATTTCTTTCCAGGAGTAGGAGGTCATTTTAAACACACCAGGCATGACGGGGAAAATGTACTTATATAGAACGGAAAGCCCATAACTTTCCGATTCATAAATATGTAATAAACAGGAACCACATGAATTAGGTGATAGCTTTCATTGCAGCTATGGATGAGTTTGGGCTCCCAGGCTGAGATACGGCACAGGACCTTCCAGTGGGACACGGCTCATTGCACGAATCTGTGGCCCGACCAAGCCATGATCTCCCCCGATCCTGGAGATGGACCGGTCCTTCACTTCAATGGCCTCATCCGCCTGAGCTGGAGACATTCAGGCCTGAGGAGAGGCCATCTGGCTGGGACAGAAACAACCTTTCAACTCAAGAGAGGAGGAGAGAGGGAGGTATATGGGGGAACCCCCCCCCACCCCTTCCACTACTGCTCTGGGAGCAAGAGTCCCATAATGAGCAGGGACAGAGGCCCAACCCCCCCATAAATCTAATGGAGCGGCTCGACTGGTAGGACAGACGCCAGCACAAAGGCTCCAGTCTGGCCTGATAGCCCCCGCAGGACTGGCTACTGGCGACTGTCCTGCCCAGGCTTTCATATCAGAAAGCAGATCAGGACGGGAGCCGTCCACACAGCCAACGTGCACAGATTAGGCGGCTGCTTTGGAGACAGGAATAAAAAGCCATAATAATTCTTTCTTTACTTCCCTTTTCTCTCATTTCCCCCTTATCAGCCAGTAGCACACAGCCGCTTGGACCTTTCATTACATACCTAAATTCCTTTTGTTATCTGTGCAGGCTTACACCTCATTATACACATGCTGAATGTATGTTTCTTCTTAAGTCAAAACTTTATATTTGACACATTCATTAATAGCAAACATACAAACCGTAAACTGACATTACCCTCAAATAAACATGGATCCACAGTAAGGAAACTAAGTAACAGTAAAGCCAATGTCCTCAAGAAGACATTCAAGTGATAATAATTCTGTCCCATTTAATTTAGACAAAAGTTAATAATAATAATAATAAAAATACATGGAAAAACAACATACCTACCTACACCAGCTTAGCGGGGTTAATGATTTGCAAAATGGAATAAAAAGACAAATACTGTGTTTGATTATGCAAATAACTGCAGAATCAGCTAACAGCCCAAGAGAGTCACTAGTCGCTTACACCTAGTTACTGAACGTCAGCTGAATGTTGCACATGCTGACCAGGTAAAACGCACGTTCAAGGCAAGCTGTACACTCTGGTGGAGACGGAGAGGGAGACGGAGAGGGAGACGGAGACGGAGAGGGAGAGAGAGAGAGAAAGTTTCCGCATCTTGATGTGTGGCCAAATCTCTCTGAATGAATAATTTAGTCATATGCAGATGGTCATTCACAACCATGGTTCCTTCAAATCACCTAAGTGCTGTACTCAGTACTTGCAGAAATACATCAAGATGATTAAGATAAAAGTCTGTATTAAGAAGATGGTCTTCCTGTTTGACAGGCATATAGCTATTAGGCTGCTTTAGCATTTAGCATGAGAAAATGTGCCTAAGGACCAAATGTATACTGTTATAGACATAGGGAACAGACTCAGGTAATTTATATATTTTTTAAATTAATCATGTGTTTTTGTCATCTTGAGAAAATAATGAATGTTTGTTATCTAAAGTCTGAATCAGCAAAACTTTCCATTGCAGGCAGAGCTGCTTTGAAAAGAAAAAACAAAAAACATTTGCTATTCTTATTAGCTATCAAACTTTACACGCCTGCAACAAATGTTACCCTTTGAAAGCCCCTCAAAAGGATTCTGCAAATGAAGACAATGCAGCAGAATCCATCTGAAATTAAACGTCTGCAGAAGACATCCCTACAGCCACACCTCACCTCTTCATTTAGACACGTCTTTCAAACTCAGCTTCAGGGAGGATTGTTAACCTCAGCAGGTAAAAGCAGAGCTTGCTAGTTACCTTTTATTTTTCACTTTATACTGCCCTTCACTCCAGCCAAGCGCTGCTCACTTCTTGGACCTCAGCATACCCAAGTTAACACAGGCATTTAAACCATGTGCATTTAGCAGGTTTTCAGAAGCGTGGCATACTGTACAAAGCCTGGATTGTCGCTTCAATCCGAACTCCATTCTGGCATCACACAAACTGACTCAAAGGCATAGATTTGCTTGGTAGGGACCAAATCAGCTTCACCGAAACACACAAGATACAGACGCTCCTCAGATTATAATGGTCAGTTTTATTTAGACTTTACAATGGATAAAAAATGTTCACTTTCAGTACATTATTCAGTAAATTACATGGGACATTAACCACTGTATTATAAAATATGCTTTGTGTTAATGAGTTTACCCAACTGTAGGCTAATTGTTCTAAGCATGCTTAAGGTAGGCTAGGCTATGATGTTTGTTAGGTTAGGTGTACCGCATTAAAATGCATTTTCGGTTTATCAGAACATAACCTCATCGTAACCTGGGGAGAGACTGTGCCACCACATTATCAATAGGGACGTGGTCCTACCACCCACACTCAAATCCACACCCTTAATCCGACTCGCTGGAAGACAGCAGGCTCTTCGTAAGGTGGCTCCTCAGACAGGGAAATACAAGGGCAGGCAGAATATGCATCAGGTAGCGAAAGCGACTATCGGAAAATATCACCTACCATCAAGGCCCGCCTCATCATCCTTGTCGGCGCGCTCTGAGTGCAGAGATCCTCCGTCGTTGAAGCTGTCTGTGTCATCTACCTCATCAGAGTCCTCAGCATCCCCTAAGTGACACGAGGAACAAAAGAAATGCATGAAACACTTCCAGATATCATTCTCCCTAATTATCTTACGCTAGTTTATACCATTTAAGAGTATTGTTTCACAGGCTAGTTAATTTCCACATTTCCTAGGTCAGGGCATAGCAGCAGGGATTGTGCCGGTTACAGACATGGACTGGCACCAGATAGCTGTTAGCTTAAGTCCCTGGAGGAGCGCTGATCTAGAAAACTGGTGTTAGGTAATTAAGCTAAAATACCTTAATTATCTCATAAGAACATAAGAACATAAGAACATAAGAATCTCTGATGAAACATTCATCTGAGCAGTTATGATCAGTACTTTGTCTTGGCCCAATTATACAATTTCATACTGTATTATAGATAAGAAAACATACACACATATTGCTAATCAAACAAGCCAAATGGGCAGCAGAAAACCTTAAATGTGACCAATCAGTAGCCTTCAGCTCAGGAACTTGACTAAACACTGCCATTTTCAGTTCCGCACTCTGTAACTTCCTGATAAATGCTACTCATCTCCTTCTACAGGCCTACAGATGATTACGGAGAATTGAACATGCCACATTTACACAGACGACGTTGTGTGCCGTTTTTAATCGCCCATTTGTGCCAAAACCCTGATCTTTGCCCTTCATTCCAATACGATACCAGGCAACACAAACAGCAGTAAACATTAGTTCCTTTGGCAGAGCTTCCCCTATCTTGCCCACACGTACAACTCACCAAAATTTGCACACTGTTTATGACTTAAAACCCGACATAAGACCAGCTGCCTGGAATATGAGAATGGTCAATCTGAATGGTATTCATTAATTTATTGTGGGAAAAGTGTTCATCCTGTTATCATGAATGAATTCGGGTCTGAGTTGAAAATAGGAGAATACTCACGTTTTTCAATAAAATCCTGAGGATAACTACAAAAAATAAAAATCATTTTTAAGGATACATATTAAAACTCATACATTATAGAGGCATATACAAATAATTTAAAGGTTCGTATGATACACATACAGCACAATAGCTCATATTTAAATTAAAACATGATCACTTGGCCTTTCTCTCGAGAATAATTTCGAGATGGCTGTTTTAGCAATTCCTAACCGTACTGTTTTGTAAAGACAATGATGGCGTCAACTTTTAGTTTTACCTTGCTCTGATCTCCTTGATCCGTTTGAGGAAGGCATCTCTTTTCTCTTTTGCCTTCTTGCTTAAATTTTCTCCTTTCAGACCATCGGAGAGGAAAAACTCTAGGTCTGGAAATAAATGTAATACAAGTGACAGAAAATGATACAACACAACAAACGTGTGTGTGATATATACATCAACATTATACTGGCGCAGAAGCGGGGATGATGTCTGGGAGTGAAATACGCGTCTTCAAGTGAAATTGGGGCTTTTATTACAGCAAGTTAATTTGTATTATTAATCTGCAAGCTGAAATACGGGTCAGTGGAAGGAACGTAGGTTATATTAAAAAAAAACTTCTGCAGGTTGGAACAAATTAGTACTTCAGTGTGCTGTCATTTTCAAGTTAAATATCACAGTCAGTGCTGTGTCGATGTTCAGTGGTGTTATGAAACACTGACTCCGTTCACTCCGGTTTTACCAGTAGATAACTTTGGAGTAATTGCACAAAATAATGTTTACCGGAGCCGCAACCTACCTCACGTACCGCTACACTCCCCAACGAATAACGGTAATTTTGCTAATTTCATAGTATGATTATATCCGTAACAATTTATGACTTTGTTTCGACTGCTGTTTGGTGTAAATTATAAATTAGTCGTATAAAGTTTTTACGACTAAAACGCAATAAAACTTCTCCCTATTACCAAACAACGCTGAAATCATCAGTTTTTAACAGGCTGTTAAAAAACTAACCCACAAGTGCACCCTACATGACACATGGTTATATAATGATGCATTTAATTCCGAAAAATACCTGAAATGAGTGTCGTTAAATCGTCGGGAATTGGTTGCATTGCCGCTGCTATCGCCGCTTTGCTCGATACGGAAGTTCAGGCAAGTTAGATATACGGAAGTTGAGTGAAACATTTCACTGATTAGGTGAAAAGGCTTTCGGAAAACTTGCATACATTGAGCTACATCTAACAGGGTCGGACTTCCTCTTAGGCAATTTGCGCTCAACTGTTTGCAAATCGTGCGGAAACGACTCGCCTTCCCATTGGCCAAGCCGGGGCCGAACCGACCATTAAGCTGTTAGACAGTGAGTGACACGACAGTAACTGTAAGGTCTAATAGACTCATGTTTTATATATATGCTATGTATACTATATACTGTTTAGGCTCTCTCTCTCGCTCTCTCTCTCTCTCTCTCTATATATATATATATATATATACATACATACACACACACACATATGGGAACCATATGGGAAGCACCATAAACTTTAAGGTCCTGCAGGTAAAACGTCACCCATTATGCACGCATTTTTATGAATGCTTGCTCAGGTAAGGATCACAGCCGAACCCCAACACTAACTCAGCATGTTGGTTTTGTTGGAAGGACTCTTGTCTTTAGGGAGCAATGATGCCTTTTCCACAATGGAAACCCGCTGTTGATATGTGCTAGTGAATCTGCTTATATACGCGCAATGTGATAGAGTGGCAGTGCAAGGCGAACATTTTCTTTATTATACTTTAATGCCAGGATCGGCTCCTGATTACTATCACTCTGGCCAGGGACGGATTATGGACCGGGGCCAGCGGGGCCGCTGCCCAGGGGCCCTTGGGGTGCAGGGGGCCCGTGGGACCCCTAGCCCAAAACAATTTGCAACGCTTATCAACAATGTATTTTCGTTTGTCTATTTTAGAGGGCCTACATTCTTTGATCCTCTGCCTACAAGGGCCCCTGACCCTATAGGGCCTCTGATGGAAACATGGAGGGAGGGCGTTTGGCTGCCAAGGGCCCTTGAATTGTGGTGGTTGTGGTGGTGGTGCTGGTGGTGGTGGTGGGGGGGGGGGCTCATGAACGTTTTGCCCAGGGGCCCACACAACCCATAATCCGTCCCTGACTCTGGCTAAATAAGTGGTTGCTTCGGTGAGCCCAGCTCCTTAATTATAGCCACTACATTTGTGCTCCCCGTCAGTAATATTATCTGCAAAGAGTTTAGAGCTGAGTTTACAGCTGTGTTTAATGGTCTTATACTTAATTTACGTTTATGTAGGATTTCCTCCAGCCGGGATGGCACACGGAACTATGTGACATGGGATCAGATCAAAGGTAACATAACTTTATTTTTGGTGCAATGGTGAGTTTCACTAAGCAGGATCAGGAATAAAGAGTTTATTAACCCAGTGTGTGGGCGGGTCATTGACATTGCCCTGTTAGTGGTATATTAGTAAATGGGCGGGTCATTGACATTGTCCTGTTAGTGGTATATTAGTAAAGCTGCAGTCTGTTTTGAGGTAGTCTAGACCTCAGGAAGTCGGCGCCTCGTTCGCCTTTTACTTCTCTGTTTATCTTCTCTCTCCCTGTCGCTCGACTTAACCTGCTTCCCTTCCCATTATCAGCCCTATTTCTGTGACGGCAAAAGAGGACTGTCAATTTGGACTATCTACTTCTCCAATTCTTACATCTATTTTTGGTAAATAGAATAACAGATTTTAAGCGAAACTCGAATAAATGCTTTTCTGTTCGTCATCATTGATTCTGAAGTTGGATTTGATAGTTCTGATTTGTTGTTCTGTAACTTGTTTGGATGAATTTGACGCATATATTGTGTGTATATGTGTGTGATCCTATACGTGATTATGTCCCTAATGTGTAATTTGATGTCATATTAGCTATTAATTGTGTTGTAATGCAATTACATTAGATGTAGTCATCTTTCAGACTTATCTGTTGTGGAAATACTGCTATATAATACTGCTACCTTGACATCTCATTGGATGGCTCAGAGACTCACATCTCCAGGGTCTGGGTTCGAATCACACCTCTGCTCTGTGAGTGTGAAGTGTACATACCCTCCCTGTGTTGTCTGGGTGTCCCCTGGGTAACTCCTGTTTCCTACTCCAGCCCAAAAACAAGCAATTAGACTAATTGTTTTCCCTAAAATCCCCATGGAGTGTGTGTGTGTGCGTGTTTGTGTGTGTGTGTGCGTGTTTGTGTGTGTGTGTGTGTGTGT